GAAGAGAAGCGACGAAAAGGTGGACGAGTTACAACTACAATTAGTCGATTGCCTTCACTTACTTCGCCTACTTCGCCTTCTGAGCCTTCTGAGCCGAATAAGCAGCCGGAAGTTGTTCTAGGAGAAGTAACACCTCTGGCAAGGCAACCCCGCCAGTTTAAGCCGCAGCTTCAAGGGCGTACGACTCATGAGTCAGAGCTCCGGAAATCTCTACATAAGATGAACGACAGGCTCCAAGACCGACAACGAGCTCAGGATCTAGCTCTCTCGCGCTCGCCTAAACCTCTGTGGAAGCACCAGCTGCCCCTGAATACTGCTCTAGACGTCTCTCTAATTTCTGGTCACGCTATGCACCTAAACTGTAAACAGGCCGACAACGAGCTCTTCTCTACAAGCCTGTACGAGCTAGATCGTGTGATTGATCAGAACTCTACTTCTCGAGTAACAGTAGACAAGGAAGACCTCTCTCAGTTGCCAAAGACCTATTCACAGTTCGCAGACGTGTTTTCTAAGTCAGCCTCAGACCAGCTTCCGCCACATCGCTCGTACGACCACAAAATCGCTCTAGAAGCCGACGAAAAGCAACTTTCATATAGTCCGCTATATAAAATGAGCGTACGAGAGCTCGAAGCGACAAAACAGTACTTGCTTGAAAACCTAGACAAGGGATTCATTGAGGCAAGCCAGGCACCCTTCGCTGCTCCTGTGCTCTTTGTCAAGAAACCAAATGGCAGCTTGCGATTCTGTATTGACTATCGTAAGCTTAACGCTTTAAGCCGCAAGGACCGATACCCCCTGCCCTTGATAGATGAGACTCTAGCGCGAATTTCTAGGGCTAAAATCTTTACTAAACTCGACATTCGCCAGGCATTCCACCGGATACGAATGGACCCTGACTCTGAGGAGTTAACGACCTTCCGCACAAGATATGGCGCCTATAAATGCAAGGTTCTTCCGTTCGGACTCACAAATGGGCCTGCTACGTACCAGAGGTATATGAATGACGTCCTATTTGACTACCTAGACGACTTTTGTACCGCTTACCTTGATGACATTCTCATCTATTCGGACGACCCTCTGGAACACGAAATGCACGTTAAGCTAGTACTTCAAAGACTACGCGACGCGGGGCTACAGGCCGATATTAAGAAGTGCGAATTTAGTGTTACACAGACGAAATACCTTGGCTTTATTATCTCAACTGACGGCATATCTGTGGACCCGGAAAAGGTTGCTATTGTACGAAACTGGCAAGCACCCTCTACAGTAAAGGGCATACAATCGTTCCTAGGCTTCTGTAACTTCTATAGGCGATTTATTAGGAATTATGGAGTGATCGCAAAGCCGCTTACGGCCCTTACTCACAATGGCGTGCCATTCAATTTCGATAACCACTGTTACCACGCATTCCAGACTCTAAAAGATGCCCTCACTTCCGCGCCCTTGCTCCAGCACTATAACTCGGAGCTGGAAAGCATGCTAGAGACCGACGCCTCGGACGGGGTGATTGCTGGAATCCTCTCTCAAAAGCATGGCGAACACTGGTTGCCTGTAGCCTACTTCTCAAAGACTATGGCCCCAGCAGAGTGTAATTACGAAATCCACGACAAGGAAATGCTAGCTATTGTTAAATCCTTGAAGGAATGGAGGCCAGAGCTCGAACGTACAACTCAGCGCATCCAGATTTACACAGACCACAAGGCCCTTGAGTACTTTATGACCTCCAAGAACCTAAACGCGCGCCAAGCTCGCTGGGCCGAAGCTTTAGCAGAATACCACTTTATCATTAAATATCGCCCTGCTAAAGAGAACACACGCGCAGATGCCCTAACTAGGCGAACAGAGGAAACAGAGGCCCAGGATTCAGTAAAGAAGGCTGACCGGCTACGTCAACTACTCCGAAATGACCAGATTGATCCTCTGATTTTACGCCCGGACTCTACTTCTACTAGCCAGGCTCAAATCAACTCCCTAGACATAACCTCTCTTTCCCCCGGAACGTCGATAATCGACCGAATTCTAACCGCAAACCGTACTTCTGAGTCACTTACAGCTGTTCGCCAACAAGCAGAAGCTGACGTAGAGGGTCCCTTTGCCCTAGAAAATGGACTGTTACTATACCACGACCGTCTTATAGTTCCTGACTTCCAGAACTTGCGTACGTACTTAATACGCGAGGCTCACAACCAAGTCTCTACCGCTCACCCAGGACGTCAGAAAACCCACAAAATGCTAGCCGTACGCTACTACTGGAAAGGCATGTGGAAGGACATTCAACAATATTGTCAGAACTGTCATGACTGCCGCCGCTCGAGTAGCCCACGGGACAAGATACCGGGACTACTTCAACCACTCCCTGTTCCAGACCGCCCCTGGCAGCATATTACAATGGACTTTTGTAGCTTTCCAGAGGACAAATCAGGGTACGACAACGTATTTGTAGTAGTCGACCGACTCTCAAAACAGGCTATATCCGTTCCCTGCTATAAGACAGTTACAGCAGAAGATATGGCCAGGCTCTACATCTGTCACGTGTATCGCTACTATGGTGCTGCTGAGTCAATTGTTTCAGACCGTGGACCTCAGTTTATCTCAGCCTTCTGGAAAGAGCTTAACCGTGTACTTGGAACTCAGCTTAAGCTTTCTACCGCCCACCACCCACAGACAGACGGACAGACCGAAATCATGAACCAGTACCTGGAACAAAGGTTACGCCCATTTGTTAGCTACTACCAAGACAATTGGGCAGAGCTACTGCCTATGATGGACTATGCCCAGCTCACGCTACCACATGACTCGCTTAGCCAAATGAGCCCATTCGAAGTACTATACGGATACCCGGCTCGTACGTCTTTTGACTGGGATACACCTGTTACAGCCCCATCCGACCGAATAAGCGTAGAGAAGGCAAGAGCGCTTGCTAATCGCATGAAGGATGCACAGGAGGCTGCGAAAAGAGGGCTCTCTTTAACTCACGAGCGCATGAAAACCTCCGCTGACAAACATCGTCGCCTGGTGGATTTTAGTGTAGGAGACTTTGTCTGGCTTGCAAAAAAACACTTGCGCACAGAGAGGCCTAGCCGCAAGCTCGACTTTCCAGAGGCTGGCCCATACAAAATTATCCAGCAAGTAGGCAACGCTTTCAAGCTCCAACTACCTGATTCAATGAAAATCCATCCAGTCTTCTCCCCTGATAGATTGCGTAAGGCTTCCCAGAATCCTTTACCAGGCCAAAGTAATCCAGAGCCACCGCCTGTCAACATTACAGGCGACGATGAGTGGGAAATTCAAGAGATCCTTGCAAGTAAAGGACGGCAATACCTCTACTACCGTGTTAAATGGCTAAACCAAGACGAAGACCTACAGTGGTACCCGGCATCTGACTGTAAATACGCCCCTCACAAAGTAAGAGACTTCCACCTAACTAACCCAACTCGACCTGGCCCGCCAGCTCGCTTATATGACTGGTTAAGTGCTTGGGAAGGTGGAAGGGACGATTATGATGATTTAGATGGTAACTTAATTATGGATACTCGGTCGAGGACGACCTTCTTTAAGAGGGGGGGTACTGTTACGGAGTTGGAGGAACTAGGGGTTGATCACGTGTAGCGCAGCATGTAGTATGTGTCACGTGCGCGCTGCTGGCATCCTGTATTTAAGCTCTCGTTCCTCTGGAACTCTCTTCCTTCCTCACTTTGTTGTTCGCTCAATACAGCAGTTTCCGTTTGACTCCGTATTCATCACAGCAAGCAGTGGTTCACTCCACACGGTTACAGTAGAGTTCTTACAATTTCAATCGCGAGTGTAGAAAATTTTGGCCGGTTCGCTTGTTTGGCCGGTTCGCTATACATGCACGTTAGACGTGTTTAGGTTATTATATATAGATAGACTCCGATATATTAATTATAGGGGGAGGGGAGTAATATAAGGGGTTAGCCCTGGCATAGTACTTACTAAGCCTTACTAAGAGGGCTACTTCTCCTTTATAGTAGAGCCTAAGAAGATTCCTTCTCTCTCCTTTATCGAACTTATTAAATACTATATTAAACCCTCTATATATACGTTAGTCTCCTATAATAATTAGACTTTAATTCGTTACTATTATCCGAGTATTTAATTAAGGAGAAGTCTCGAAATAATCCTTTTTAGGGCTATAAGGCTAGTAATCCTACGATACTAATAGTATAATAAGACGAGTTAGATAAATAGCTAGAGAAGAGTATAATTAAGAAGGACTCTACCCTAGAAGATATACGTCCATTCCTTATATCCTACCGAGATAACTTTCTTATAATTATATAAATTACTCTAGATTATCTTACTATTCCTATAACAAGCGCTCCCTCGGAACGAGTATTTAGTAAGGCCGGTAATTTAATATCTCGAAAGAAGGGTCTTATTTATAGTAAGAACGTTCGATATATATTATACTTACGAAGCTAGGGTATTATACCAGATAGTAACGACGAGATTAAGGTCGAAATTAATAAGGAAGGTGGGATTATTAAACGCTAGTATATAATTGATTTGTTTTATTATAATTATATTTTATTTACCTGTCTTTTGTTGTCTCTTTATCCCTTTAATAATAGTATTTGACCTCGAAAACCCCCTCTAAAATGACCCTAAAATATGCTAATTATAGGTATAAAATATCGATATTGTTAATTTTTAGACGATAAATTATTAGTATCGTATGAATATATATCGCGATAATCCGATAAATATCGTCATCGTGCCCAAGTCTGCTCTGCATTGCTGGGAAATACTTTGCTGCTGCTTTCACGTCACCCAGCGCACTGGCAGCGCACTGGGCGAAAACCCGAGCAGAGGTTTTAGAAGAAGGAGACAGTCTTTTGAACTACGATTCTCTTTCGAATTGCAAGACAATCCAAAATATACTCAAAGGATGCAAGTAGTCCTTGTCAACAGTATCAAAATTATATCTGAAGCTAACCCGTCCTAGCCCTTCGGCTCTATCCAGTCTTCCCTGTACTTGCTCGCGTCGCCCTCAAAGATACGAAACTTCCTGTTGGTGGTGGAAAAAACCAGACAGAGCCTGTATTTGTCCCCAGAGGAACCAACGTGATCATGAGCTATTACGCCATTCACCACGATGCCAATATATATGGAGACGATGTAGAGGAGTTCATTCCTGGTCGCTGGGACCACATTCATCCGGATCAATACCAGTTTTTACCATTTGGGGCGGGTCAGCGGGCATGTCTTGGTCAACCTAAAGCACTGGTAGAAGCGGCATATGTTGTGGCCCGTTTAGCGGAGAGATACGAAATTCTGGAGTGTCGAGACAAGGAGCCGTGGGAGGGTGAAATAAAGTTGACATGTAAGAGTGCGAATGGATGTAAGGTCGCGTTTAGAAAGGAATGAAGTATGTATGAGGAGAATGGGCACATCCTGAGATTATTAGCGGTGGAAATCTAGGATGCATGAATCTATTGGCTACACAATTATATTGAACATCGTACTATATGACTACAATATATGCCTCTGATTCCAAAATCCCTACAACATTCAACGTTGAACACGATCCACCACTTGCGCCATGCTTCCTTCTCGGAAAAGAAGTTTCTTGCACCAACCACAACTAGTTCTGATGTTCCAGCATGATATCTTCCCCTCTACTCTGGCCTTCATGAAAGCGATCAAATCCTCTGATTTTCCTGGAAGGTATGCCTCTTGTAAACCGTAGTTTTAGTGGTAGAAGTGGTTAGATAAGGGCGTTACCAGTAAACCATGCGGCATTGTCGCCGTTCCCGCCCCGCTTCTCACTTCGCGTCAACAAAAACAAAAGAAGGAAAACGTCCACAAAAAAAAAGAATCCAGCGTATGAATTAAAAAAAACAGCAAAAACTTAATTTCCAGCTGCACAAGAACTGTACAGGGTCCTCAAGGAAACTCAGACACCATTTCTGGTCGGTTTATTATTTCGCTCCGATAGGCCGCGGAGCTTATAGGCTGTGTTAACGTGTTGCCTCCTCACGAGTATCGCCCCAGTACCACTCTGCCAGAACCTCTTTCCGGTAATGTCGAGTGGTATTGGTGGTGGATGTGTTATTTATGGTTATAGAGGGAAAAGGCGGTTTGTGGATTATGTGATGTGCTGGGAAATTACCTAGGTAGTGAATCTGTTGTTTGCAAGAAATGCAGGCTGGCTGTCGGAGGGGAGTTGAAGTAGAGTTAAGCTTACCTATTCTTATATATCTGCTATGTTAAAGAAACAGATAAGTGAGGAATCGCTACAGCGAATTCATAGACCTAAGAGGCATATAATCTATGCCAAAATTCCATGACTTCACTACTTGGGTAACCACGTTGACGCATTTCTGTGAAAAAGTGTAGTTATTCAAAGGATCGCAGAAATTGCCTAGAATACGAACTAGTTAGGAAAATGGTTATATTGTTTCCTACGTGGATTTTAAAACGGATCTTCACGAGTATTTGAGTTATGCGTAATCAGGAACGGATACAAATTAAAGCGATACGAATTACAAATGATAATGTGAGATATATCTAATAGTAAGATGGCTACAAAATTAAATATTTTGCCTAAGGCTATAGTTTATCGTAAATTATCCTTGATACACATGTGTTTATTTTAAAAAAGTGACATTCCATTATTATTACTAAAATGGTAATGAAAGGACAAGGAGTAGGGGGGTAATTATTCGAGGAATCATTTTGGTGAACTATCTGAATGTCTTAAGACTAAAAGCCACAGGGAACACAAAGTAGGTTGGTTTCAATCAAAAAGATCTAAGAAACAACGCACGAACCCTCCCTCTTGACTCCCTTCTTGGTAGTACTCACAGCCAACTTCCAACCTATATGCTCACCGGGTAATTTGGAGGCGATATATATTTCTCCAGCTCTGACAGTAGACTTCATGAATGGTCTATCCTCCGGCCACACGTAGACACCGTATCTGTCGCTTTCATAAGAATGCTGAAGAACTACATAGGCTTTGCCAGATTCGGGTGGTGGAAGTCCACCACACATTGATAGGCTTCTATCGCCACGGAGCTCGTATGAAGGAGTCAAGCGATAAGTTATTCGAGATATTTCATGCCTACTCCCTTGGCTTTGGTATCCAAGAAAAATACATCAATCAGGCCGCTCTCCAAAGTCGTATGTGCTTTGGCTTCGTTCAGGGAGTTTGGGTAAGTCTTTATCGAAATCTTTTGAGTTACTCATTTTCTATTAATCTATGGTAGTAAGGTTTGTGGGTAGTAAACTGGAAGAGTAAAATAAGGGTTCGAGTGGTGATTTCGGAACGAAATGTAGACCTCACAATTTCGTGTTCATGATGAAAACAGCACCAATTAAACCAAAGTCACTGTCTAGACGATAGAAGTTGTAAACAAAACCTGGAATCTATTGCCTTGGTTACCAGATGCGGCGTTCGAAATGACTTGAGAGTGGCACCTACTCAAATCCTACTCGAGTAGGTTTCAGCCTTACTTAAGCCAACTCAACTCTGAGTGACTCTGAGTAGTACTTGAGTTGTTGAGTAATATTTTGTCATTAGAACGCTGACCAGATTGAATGATACAATTTGAAGGGCAGGAGTTGAGTCTATAAGTCTAAAGATGCTGGAGCTGTGCCGTCCTAACGCTGGCCCGAAGCCTCTACCCATCGCATTCAAACGGAAAAAGTCATATTACATATTATCACTACTAAAATGGAAACAAAGGATCTTTCAAGGAAGGGGTTTATATTGTTGTTAATGGGGCATTGGAGGGGACTTTTCAGAAAGAGTTGCGCGTTGGCTTTTGTATCGTTCGGATAACTTACAAAACAATGCACGTATCTAGATCTTTATTGTCTGATTCTTCACCTTCCGACTGTTCCGATGCTGGATCTTCGTTATCTGGGTCTAAAATCCAACCCAAATACCGCACATTAGCACCATTATGCTCAAGTAATCTGTAGCCAACGAATAGCTGGCTTCCAGAGAAAGGAAAGGGATCCGCATCCCAGGCAGTGTGGTTGCCTAGTGTTACTCCCACAGGCCAGATGAAAACATCAAAGCTATCAACTGAATGAAGATGTTGTAAGGCAACGTAAGCCTGGCTACGTTCAAGGAGAGGAAGGTGGCTGAACATTCGCTTACTTCCATCACCGCAGATCTGGTATGAAGCACCTATAGAACGTAACTTGTCAGCCCCAGTGACTCTAGTATCATGGTACCATAGGCGGCCATTACTTGAGTCATATTGTGTCCAGCTTTCATTGCTTTCCGCTCTACTAAATCCTTGTGGGTGACTCATTTTCTGATCTTTGATATTAATTTTGGGGTTCAAATAGTAGAAGAGTCGAAACAAATGTTGCCGCTCCAATGATGAGGCTTCCAATGATGAGGCTTTTTAAGTGGTTGTTCGAGAGATATACACTTTTCAATCTCATGTTTTCAATGAACACCCTAAACTTAACAAATGCCATTGTTTAGACGACAAAAGCTATAAACAACACCTTGGCTCATTGCCTTTGTGAGTGGATTTGATTGATCTGAAAGGCAGGAATGAAGCCGACATGGTGCCGGAGCCGATACTATATCGGGGCCGATACGGTGCCGACCGTTGGTGCGAAGCCTCCCCGCATGATTTTTCGGTTCCCAGGTATCTCATCCATGGATTTGCCCCGCAGGCCCCCCACAGGAAAATCCGCGCAATTGGAAATGCTTCCAATGCGACAACACAGGTAACACCACAACCGCCAGTTTGCTCTTATGATGGACTCTGAGGATTGGATCTTGAGGTCAATACGGCCTCTTGATATTCCTGGTAAGCTCCTCCTGACGTTGACTGATATTTCCAATCCATATTGAAATATACATGTGCTGACCATTACTAGTAGTCGTAGAGTTATGGCACACCTATCGAATTCCCATAATACTCTCCACTGTCACGGTTCTACTTTCAATTAGAGGCATTCTACATTTTCAAACGCCTCGACAACGTCTTTCCGGGACTCCTGTACGACCTTTCCCAAGCTTCCCCTCGAAAACGAAAGTTACCCCTCCACAGCCGACGGAAAAGCAAGCCGTAGTCGCCGTAGCAGAGAAAGGGCCCAAACGCATTGTCGGAGGCCTCAAGAAGCGGAAGAGTTCACAAGAACATATCAAGTCTGGCGAGGAGAAGATCCAAGTGCTGGTATTCTTTTCGTCTTTAACGACTACAACAGAGAAGACCACCAAGGCCTTTACGGAAGGGCTTGCGCAAAATATTGAAAGCTTTCTTACTTCAGACAAGTTTCTAGAACCGGAGATTTTGGATTTGGCTGAAGTCGATTATGACGAATACTTCATCAACACGCCGAAATCTGAGAACAATGTCCAGTACTTCTACCTCATTCTTGTCCCAACCTACAATATCGACACCATAAACGATACTTTCCTCGAGCATCTACAAGAAACACACAATGATTTCAGAATTGACACGGCTCCGTTATCTTCACTACTCGGTTACTCAGTTTTTGGGTTTGGAGACCGTGAAGGATGGGTGACCGAAGCAGAGGGTTTCTGTTCGCAGGCCACAGATATTGATAAATGGATGGCAAAGCTTACAGGTAGAAAACGGGCATTTCCTTTGGGTATGGGCGATCCAAAAATTGATGCGACTGAAAGATTGAAGGAGTGGAAAGAGGGACTAGAAGAAGTTTTATGTCACATTGCAGAAACGGGAAGTTTGGGAGAAGGTGTTGTAGGGAGCGGCGATGCGGTGGAAAGTGACGTTGAAGATATAGACGAAGATGATGGAGAAGTACTCCTCGAGCCACAAAATCCTCCGTCGAAGAAGAAGAAATCCAACAAGGATGACCCAAACGATATGGAAGATTTAGGAAATGTCCTGGAGAAGGGAAACAAGGATGCTCCGGCTCCAGAGGGTCCAGAGGAGATGGAGATAGACTTTACCAACTACAGCAAGAAGGCAAAGGCACCTGTCCCGGTACCAGCTATAAAGGAAATGGTCCCCAAGAACTCACCTACATTCAATTCCCTCACCAAGCAAGGATACTCAATCGTGGGTTCTCATTCTGGCGTCAAAATATGCCGATGGACAAAATCGGCCCTTCGAGGGAGAGGATCTTGTTACAAATACTCATTCTATGGAATTGCCTCCCACCAGTGTATGGAAACAACGCCATCACTATCCTGCTCCAACAAATGTGTGTTTTGTTGGCGCCACGGAACCAATCCCGTAGGAACAACATGGAGATGGGTTGTCGACCCTCCCCAAATGATATTCGACGGCGTAAAAGCCGGTCACTACAAGAAAATCAAAATGTTGAGAGGTGTCCCTGGTGTACGAGCAGAAAGATTCGCCGAAGCAATGAGAATAAGACACTGCGCACTCTCTCTAGTCGGCGAACCCATCTTCTATCCTCACATCAACGAATTTCTCTCGATGCTCCACGCTGAAAGAATTTCTTCCTTCCTAGTCTGCAACGCGCAGCATCCAGACCAACTCGCAACACTTAATCCCGTAACCCAACTCTACGTCTCTATTGATGCCTCAACCAGAGAATCACTACGCAAAATCGATCGACCCCTCCATCGAGACTTCTGGGAACGTTTCAACGCCTGCCTCGACATCCTCAAAAAGCGTCGTTTTGAGCAACGAACCGTCTACCGTCTCACCCTTGTAAAAGGCTTCAACGTCGACGACGAAGTAGAAGGCTACGCCCGCCTCGTCGAACAAGGCCTCCCATGTTTCGTCGAAATCAAAGGCGTCACTTACTGCGGAACCTCCTCCTCCGCCAGCGCCGGCCTCACCATGCAAAACGTCCCCTTCTACAGCGAGATCCAGGAATTCGTGCTTGCACTCACAGCCGCACTCGATGCCAAAGGTCTTGACTACGGTATCGCGGCCGAACACGCGCATAGTTGCTGTGTCCTGATTGCGAGCGGGCGATTCAGAAATGAGCGGGGGAGATGGTGTACGAGGATTGATTACCAGAAGTTCTTCGAGCTTCTCGAGTCGGGCGAGAAGTTTCGACCCGAAGATTATATGGGCGAAGAAACGCCCGAGTGGGCTACGTGGGGACAGGGTGGCTTTGATCCCAGGGACGAGAGGGTGTATAGGAAGGGAAAGAATAAGGTGCCGTTATCTGCGGCGGCTGAGCAGGTGATGGGTGAAGATATCAAGGTGGTGGAGGCGTATTAGAAGATCAGCATAAGCGAGCACATTTGCATGCATAGGAGTACAAAATCATAGGTTGAGTGAGCTTGGACAATAATCGTTTCTGCATGCAGTGAAGCAAAGCAAAATTTTCAATCGTTGCTGTGAGACCATTTTTTCGCCTCCATTCCATCTCATGGTTCCATGCCATGGATATTATAACCATCAACTCCAAAACACCCCCACCGTCCCGGAAAACTCCCTAACCCGAGTCATGTAAAAAGACTGTGAAAAAAGATCATCATCTTAACCAGCAGCACTGGTACCACCACTAGGTCCTCCATCTACGTCACTTAGCCTCTCTCTCTGGACCATGACGCGCTCATTGCAAATATCGATAAACATCTCAAATTTCTGAATCTGCTTGTCCTTCTGTTTTAATTTCTCCAGCAACTGCTCTCTCTCCTTGTGCCATTCCTGTCTGACCGCCTCGGTTTCCGCTTGTGCTTTTGCAACCTCGGTTCTTAGCTCGGCACGCAGTTTCTCTTCAAAAGTCATGGGTGGCTTTTTGTAAAAGGTGGGTAGTTCTTCCATAGCTGATGCTTCGACGCGAGAGGGATCCCGTTTGATAGCTGCGCGAGCATTGTAAATGTCTCGAGGGAGGTAGCGAACGCTGGAATTTTCGCGATGGAGGATCTCCAGAGTCTCTTTTACTGATACGCCTAGTTTTATGTTAGTCTTAGTTCATTTATGATGAGTGCGGTTTCATATACCATTTTCTTCCAAAGCCTTGACAGCTGCAATGGCTTTTGGATCTAATTTTCGTGCTCCTGGATGCTCGGTTGGACTCTCGCTGGGTGGGTGATTATGTGCTAAGTGTTCGCCATCTATTCTTCCTCTCAAAATCCAGGCAGTTTTTGTCTCCAAGCCGAACACACCGAATTCACAACCACACTTCCGAGACTTGGTTTTCCGTTGACGAGCTTCTCCGGGCACTTTCTCCTTATTCGTTCCACCTCGATCGCAAATCAGAAAGACCTTCTTCAGACCTCTGTTATCCCGTTTTGATCTTCCGATCACGAACGCATAGCCGTGAGACAATGCGTGTGCTTGAGCTGCTTGGAATAAAGCATCGAATGTCGGGTAGCTGCCAGACTCGGGTGGTGAAAGCATGCCATCTGGTGCTATAGGTGGTCCGACTGGGCTCGGTTGGTTTACAAGCACTGAGTTATTTGGATCGTTGAGCTGTTGATCAATTGCGAGTTGGGGATCAATCATCGACATGTCTTGAGGGTCGTGAGGCGAACCGTCTTGAGCACGAGATCCCATAGCTGGATTGACGGGCGACGCTGTCATGTTTGGTCTCTGCGTATTGAGGTGTTGCATCGAGGGAGAGCCATTGTGGGATTGTCTCTGGGCCTGGTGATTCATGGACGATGGTGTTGGGTTCATGGCATGGTTGATGTTCATGGGGGTACTCTGTAAACCCATCGGTGGTTGACCGGGCGTGCCATGGTTTGGCATATGTATCGTCGTGCCCAAGGGAGGAGGTCGACGTTGGGGGGTGTTTGATCCAGATCCCGTTGACGCGTTGCTCAAGACACCTTGGGCGATTTGCTGTTCCGCCGACACACCCACGCCTACACCTACACCCACACCCACCCCTCCATTCTGAATGCCATTCGAGCGCGGTGGTCCTCCAGGGACTTGAATGGTGTTGGGTGTGTAGGGCGTCGAGTATGGAGATTTGTGAGCTGGTCCTCCTACTCCTAAACCTACCCCTCCTAGACCCCCATTACCTCCGCCTGGAGGACGAATTGTCCCCTGTGGTACTCGAGGAAAGGCAGGTCGTTGCTGTTGCTGTTGTTGCTGCCGTTGCACGGGCGTGGGCGGTGTAGACAGGTTGGGCTGGACTTGAAAGACATGTTGACGTGCTTGGGGGATGGGGAAGGACGGTCGCGGATTATTGTCTTGCGGAGTTAGAGGCATGATGTTTTGATGGACCAAGATGCATGGGCATGCGCACCTTGGGGGTGGTGTATCTAGTGATGCCGTATCGATTGGCCTGGCACGCCTGGGTGCGTGACGGGTGCTCGGGGTGGTTGTAAAAATCGGGTTGTAAAGTGACCTTCGGCTGGCCTCGGCTTAAAAGCGGCGAGGAATGGACGGGTACTGACTGGATGAGTGGAAGTACTGAGGAAGAGACACTGCCGATTGTACTCGACCGTACTGACTTGAATTTGAACGACAAATATGACAAGTAGAGAATATACGAGCAGACGGTAAGGTGTATTTAAAGAATAAACAATCCATATTAAGAAAGTTGTCCCGATATCGGATGTCACACGCCAAAATTGGTGTTTATATTAGTAGCTACCTACTAGCTGAACTGGTACTAAAACACTGTTACTGACGTACAATATTAGCAGGTACTGTTGTAGAAGATTTCTATCCAATTGATATTATATATTCTATTCAGTTTGTAGTTTGGGTATTATCCCATCGAGATTTGCACCGAAATTCTGGTGTGGGACAACCGATTCAAGAAAAGTCTTTTTGACAATACCATATTATTTAGATTATAAGCTAACATTTTACAGATAATTCGCTGGTCTAGAGACGAAAAAATACCTTATCTTAAATAAGACCATTAAAATATTACAAAATACTTTACCCCACTCTATCTAGTACTTGATTAACATGCAAGCCTTCTAGTTGGTCAAAATTTACAAGATACAAAAATATCTTGAAAATCCAGACCCTTATCTTACATGACCATTCATCTTATAGATGTTATGTTGTATTCCAATGATTACAGTAGCGGTAATACTTAAATCCCTTCAAGGTCATGTGAAGCTCTGACTATATCCTGATATCATTCCAACTTGTGTGTGTGTCATCATTCTTTAAAGCAGAGTCAAGATAACAGAACAGTGATTTTAATATAAAAGAAGTTAGTTCAGCTATATTGCTTATCCTTTCTAGCTGCACTATCCCGCAGTGTTTTTACTTCATATTTTAGCCAAAGGAGGATGGGGAGTTGTGATGAACCCCCCTTCTTGTAGCGAACTTTGTTAAAACTTGAGTAGACAACTCCTAATACAATGAAAGACTGCGATTGATTCATGCAAACCATAAAGATAGCAAATTTCATCTCATTATACGTCTTAGACCTCGAGAATGTGGCTCCAAGCTCCCAATAATACAGGTGCATTGTGAAAAGAGAGCAGAATACAGCAGATTTACCAAGTCTCTCTCGCATTTACTTGGTCAATGGCACCTTATTTCGTCGGCTTCATTAAGCTCCGTAGTGCCGTCTGCCGCGTAACTATATCCAAAGTGGCTGGCAGCGAGGCAGCTTGCAGTGGACTCATCAAGTACTGTACCGTACTGAATTCAGCTCGACCCTGAACATGGCAAGATCGGCGAATCAAAATCCATCTTCACTTTCCCCAATAGATTTAGATCCCCACCAGTTCACTGGTTTTCGGGACTAAGTTATATATCAGAATGTTGATCGTGGAGCTGTGCGTACAAAGATCTTTTCGATATGAGGACCTTCTTTTATAAGTAGTCTGGGAGGTTCCAACAACCAAACAACTGACAATAACATCAGCACAACAGTCTGTACAAAACATCCGTTTGACTCTAGTGCCTCTGGGAAGCAAGCCCTATCTATATCTTTCACTTTTACGTAGCGGCCTAAAATAAAATGATATGACGAAACCGATTAAAGTATGGATGGCTCGTAAGTAATGAATAATATCAAAAAAGATAGCATAACAGAGCCCAGCTAATACGCTCAATTGCAAACAGCTGCCGGACCAAACCTCTGGAAGGTAAATACATCGCTCTATACTTTATAGTACAGTAAACCCAGCTCACCCAATCCTCAGGTCGTCCTCATCCTCGAAAAACTCGCCATTCCCTACGAGATCGTAGCATTCAAATTCGACGACGTAAAAAGGAGGCCATTCATCACCTTGAATCCAAACGGTCGCGTGCCATGTGAGGAACCCAAATTACTTTCCAATTCTCCCGCATTTCTGATAGTAAATCTGTAGCAATCGAAGATCCAAATATTAGTCCCGATGGCCTTGTTTTATGGGAATCTGGTGCTATCATCCAATACCTCATTGAACAATATGACAGCGAGAAGAAATTAACTTATGATACCTTTGAGAAACATAAGTTAAACCAATGGCTCATGTTCCAAATGAGCGGTCAAGGTCCTTACTACGGACAATTAGGCCGGTAAGGTTACACAACACCCTTCAATCCCACCAATCCATCTCCAACAACCCTAACAAACCAGGTCCAACGTCCTCCACCAAGAAAAACTCCCCTCCGCCATCCTGCGCTACAAAAACGAAGTCCGACGCATCCTCGGCGTCCTAGAAACCAGTCTTGAGGACAAAACCTGGTTGGTAGGTAACAAATGCACGTATGCAGACTTATCCTTCGTGACCTGGAAAGAGAGGTTGGATGCTCTGTTTACGGTCCCTGCGGAAAACAAGTTTGATGGCTTTCCGAATGTGGAGGCGTGGCATGGACGGATGGTTGAGAGACCCTCGTGGAGGGCGGCGATGGAGAAGAGGAGGGTGATTATGGATGAGCAGGGGTTGATGTGGAATGGGATGCCGAAGGGGATTAGTACTTATGAGCAGTATGTGGAGAAGATTGGTAGTGATAGGGTGGAGGCTGAGGGGGAGTAGGTTATGTGGATGGGGTTGGGGATGGGGAGGGTGATGGGAAGTCATTCGTAGTACGAGTAGAATTTTTGCGTGTGTCGTTCATGTTGGATCTGATTGGATGTATAAGACTCAATTACACTCTCGCGTTCATGGCCAAGACTCGAGTCTGGATCTAAAATATTCACCAAAGCATTCAAAAACGTTGCATTTGGCTATCCTAATTCTTCTATTGATTTACCGTTAGATAGTTAGGCAAAACTGTAGACACACGAAGTTAGAATGATATATTATTCCAGTGTTTGGAATCTCCCCTCCTTTTCTTCCCCAAGCCTTGGAAAGAAGTAGGAGAACCGTACCATATGGCTAGGAGAAGGAAAGGAGTATAGGTTACCTGTCTGGAAGGGAGCGGAGGAGGAGAGATAGTATTCGGGAGAGGAGTAGGAAGGAGAGGCTAAAACAAGGTTGAAAAAGAGGCTATTCCCAGATTAAATATTAGCTAAGATATTACGTACTTACCGAAATAGCTCTACTACGTAGGAGCCTGTTCTTACTAAGGTTCTATCGTCAGGGCTAGGCATATTAATTCGAAGTAAAAGGGATACAAACAGATTTAGTAGTGGATTATTTAATAGATTCAACGGATTTAATAGTAGAATCAAGTAAGATATCCAAGAAATGACACTAAATTCCCGAGAAATACTATCCCTCTCTTACCCTAACGAGTACCGAGCTTTGAATCAGGGTATAAGCGAGTTTTAGGTCACTTTCGGAATCCGGAGCGGTATCGAGACCTTATTTCCACTATATTTCAAGCCTACATATTAGACCTATCAAGACCTATAACACTAAGCCTTAGGAGTACTCCCGCCATCTCCTATATGGTGCCCTGGCGAGGATAAGGAGTACTAATTGGTCCGGATAGAAATAGGAAGGAGAGCTCACTAATTAGTCCGGATTGGAATAGATAGGGGTATAGATAGGAGTCGTGGGAAGTGCTAGGGAGGGGAGATTCTAAAGACTATAGGTATCATTCTGGAACAGCGTGAGAACAAATTACTCTATTATTCAATTAGTAATCAACTAAATTATAATTAAATAGATCTGAATTAGATTAGGAACTTTCGGTGATCAAATAGATTAAGAGGCGTTTATTTAATCTAATTAATTCAATTAATAGGAAATATTTTAAAGTACTACTAATACACTTAGAGAAGCTTTCAAAAGGTTAATAAAGAGAGAAAACAAGAGTAAAGATATAATAGATAATCTAGTAACTAAGGAATAGATATTATAACTAGTATAGAGGGTTAAGTGCGATTATGTGACCTACCTTATATCCCACTTATATAGCAGAGTTTTCTTGTCTAATTCTAGGCTCCTTATAGCGTTTTCAACCTACTTTGACAGTCTATTCTATCCTTTATCGTATATAGTATAGGGGCTCTCGCTTAGCTAGCACATGGTCTGCCGAGCACCCTCCGAGCCCTCAGTCCGCTAGTCCGAGGCTTCGGCCCGTATCAATCAATTTAATTAGATTATATGATTAATTGAGTGATTAATTGAGATTAGGAGGTCTAGTTGATTAGAATAACTAAGATTAAGATCCTCTTAGTTAATCTATTCTAATCATTTTTTACGCTGTTCTAGAACCTTTATATAACTAGATTTAATATACGACCCGTTTAGGATATTTTAAGTAATATAACTTTATTAATCTAAGTTATTTGGGATAATTAAGCTAATTCTTTTAGAGATACTAGTATAACAGGTTCGTAGGGTTTGTATAGAGTTTCGCCCAAATGTCTTACAACCTTATACAATGGTAGGTGCGAACAGTCTTTTGGGATCCAAAGACGTAAGGATATAAGCGAGGTTACAAGAACTTCATTTTTATATACTCAAGGTCAAGTCAAGTAGTATGACGGAATTTACTGTTGCATAAAAAGAGGTAACTCAAATCCTCAATAGAATCCTTATCCACAAGGAACTGGGACTGAGGTTTCTCATTCCATTCATCAAATAAGCGTGCTCCAATGTGGATATTGGTATTCGTGATTGCCATGAAGCCATTCTCATCTAGAGTAATCTGAAGATTGCCTGTGTCTTTCTTAGACCATGTTGGCGGCTTCCCATCTCTAGTTGGAGATCCATAGTACCAGCAGAGCAAACGATGTATGAAAATTTGAATATCCCAATCCTTCACTTCTTTCCAAACTTGTCCCATACGATACGCAGTCTCGATGTCTCCTGGATTTCCATTTGTTGCCAGAGATCCCATGTACACTAGAGAGAATTTGAGATATACTTCCTGCATGAAAGGACTTTTGAAGGCGGAAGTGGGACGTTTGTACTCTGGTAAAGTGGTTGAGAATGGAATTGTGTAGATGACTCTTGCCTGGCGGAAAGTCGAATCCTCCTCTTGGAGTACAGAGTTGGCTGAATAAGCTAACTTCATAGAAGCTGCGGTGTCTTCTTCGGGACAATGATATTGGAGATGATGTCTGAGAGCGCTTTGGCAGACATCAAAGGGACTTTTGGAGTAATCGACAGGCATTGAGTCCCGACAATATTTGCTTGCAAGAGAAAGTAGACCAAAAATCCGGTCCTTAATATCCTTGCATTGTGATTCATTAAACTCGAAAAGTAGGTCGAGAAGATGAGGATCCCTTTCATAAGATGGTAATTCCGGCCCATCCAAAAGGCGAATCTTTGACAAACGCTGTGGAATTGTTCCAGTCCTAAGCACCGGCATGTACTCGTTGTCGAGCCGCTTGCGGGCTATCCATAGTCGTACCATGTGATCGACGCTGATGAAATGACCCCAATCGACTTCCAAGGACCCACAGCAAAGAACGATTCGGATAGCGAGTGCCACTTCCTGGATGATCCAAAGTCGAGTCCAATAGGGTCGTTTGCACAAGCCAATAAAATTTTCCCAATGGTCCGAAAACTGTTGGTTGGGGTAATCGTCAAATTCTAATCCCACATTAACCCGAGCAATGAACGAAAGAGTATCGTCGCTTTCCTCGGTCGAGCTACCGAGCCAAACTACCACTCTCACAGCTTGGCTAAATATGAGACTCATTTGGTCGACCTGGTGATTACGTTCTGCAGTATTTGTCTGATTGATACAAATCGCATCGATCCATAGACACCTCGTGGTACGTTCCAGTCGCAATTGTTTGAGGGCCAACCAAAGGTTCTCTCTGACTCCATATTTCTTTCCTCGTATCGAGAGGTACTCTGATTCATTCCCTTCACCCCACGCGTACCAGGGAGCTTTATTCCATAGATCCCTCATGGTATCTTTCAACCGTAATTGCTTGACGGCAAACGAAAGATTCTCCCTGCCACGATACTTCTTTTCTTGTATGAAAATATGCTCTGATTCATCTTCTTCACCCCACGTGTATGATAGAGCTTCATATAGCGGTTTCTGTGAAAGTCTTACATGCAAAATCTGACATTCGATCGCCGATGTTGGGTCTTCTGAGGGTAGGATATTGAGGAGTCGTATCTCATCGGTATTTTGGTTCAGAGGCTGGTGGACGAAACTTTGACTCTCCATTGCCGATAGTGAGACTAGTGTGGATTTGAACAGAGCTTGGAGGGTTCGTGGGTCGTTATTAACAACCTGTTAATGTGGCAGTGCTTGCTGTGCTTACTTGTACAGCACGATGGAAAGTGGCGCAGCAGTTGTCCTGCGTCGTACTGTATTTGAAAAGGTATTTCCATTTTGAGAACAAATAATAAGAAATTGAGCTAACGTTATTGGTATAGTATAAAAGAATGGCTACGAGGAACGGCTTGCACCTATTTGGTTCAGTGTGCTAGTGAGTATGTAAGTGGGTTGACTAAGAATATCCTCGTGACCAACGTAAGGTTAAGTGACTAGATATACTTACTCCCTCTTCCCACATCTATTTAGTTCTTCAAAGCACCATGGACGAAAGCCATATAGAAGACTCTCTCGGGTAATGTTAGTATCTTATTATGATCTATCAAAAAAGACCTACTCTGACATAATAGTACAAACTCTCAATACGTATTCGACCTTTCATACGGCTTATCATCATGCCGTCGTCTTTCACCTCTCCCTTGAACGGAACCATGCGTTGAAGTACGTGGCGAGCTCGCCAGATCACCATCCAACAACTTCCTGAGCCTCGAACCTCCCTCTTTCCATCCGGCCTTCTGAGCCGGAGTCTTCCCTTGCAGATCTCGCATCCTGGTATCCGCTCCCGCATCCAGCAACATCCTCAACGTCCTCTCTTTCAAACTCAAATTAATCCGTCCCATCAGATACACACCCTCAATAGCTCGATGCAGCACCCCTAATCCTCGCTTATCGCTTGCATCAATATCCGCTCCTCTCTTCAGCAACATTTTGATCATATCAAGGTGACAATGTCGTGATGCAACCAACAAGGGTGTGCCGCCTTTGACATTCCTGACTTCGATATCAGCTCCGTTCTGTAAAAGACAGTTACCGGTATTTGCATGGCCTGTCCGAGCAGCGATGATAAGTGCCGTATCGCCCGCTGCATCTCTGTGATCCACGTCTGCGTCGAATGACAATAAGAGCCTCACAATATCTAGCTTCCCTGTTTTCGCAGCAGACATCAAAGGTGTATCGCGACCTTTGATACAGATATCCGGATACGCTCCAGCTTCCAGCAATAACTTGGCCGTTTTTCGATGGTCGTTCGTTACAGCTGCTTGTAGAGGCGTCGTTCCATCAGCCCAATTGTCGAGATATCGCTTTCGGAACTGTAGAGTGGTTTCTCCATCTTTGGTATGATGACGCCGGGAACGTGAGTCTGATGGCGGTGGTGTGTTTAAGAGTATATCGAGGACATTCAAGCGGCCCTTTGCAGCTGCAGCAACTAAAGCTGGGGTACGATTTATTGAAGCATCTTTAGCGAGAATTGAGTCGATAGTCGCAAGGTCATTTGCGCTAGCTGCTGATGCAAGATCGTGTGATGGAGAGTTGGTTTTCTGAGAGATGTAATTGACCCCTTCCTTTGCGATGATTGGGCCAACTTCTTTCGCGACGAGGGGACCGAGTGTTTTGACGAGTTCATTCATGTTTTCTTTTTCTTTTGGATTTTGTTGTCGAATGGTATATGATATATTTGTTGATCAAGAAGGGGCCGACAACGGGGCGATCAGTTTGTTAATATATGATACTGCCAAAAAGTCACCAGACTGGTATCCAGAAGTGGCGAGCATCTGAGGTCATCATGCTACTTTTCTCGGTCAGATCTTGGCGGATGTGGCCGCCTATGGCAGGTGGGCAAGTGGGCATGAGACCTGAACATCCCGCATCCCATTCCCCACGGCTTTTCGACCAATCATCATGCAATTGGGTCTCAATGCCTACCCGGTTGGGCTGTAAGGCTGCAGAGGGATATTTTGGACTCGTTAAAATGACCCATTTTGGGGAAACCTTAGGAAATAGATTGTCATATGCGGTTGACGAATTCAAATATACATGTAACATGTTGATCGGGGAGTTTTCTTCAGGGGGTGCCGAAGTTTAAACCAGTAAGCGAGCACCACATCACTTGTACAACTCCGCGAATGCACGACTTCATGATAAGATTGGGATGGGATTCTATTGCTTTTCCATACCCCCGATTGCGGAGAATATGGAGAATAATAAGAATGTGGGGTTTGAGATATATCTCGTCTCGCTAGGAAATAACACAAGTCACCTGACCGTTCCTCTTTTGTAATCAAACGCTTACTTGTTCAAGCGATATTCATACAGGTTAGGAGCTCTTATTTCATTATTTCTTACGTCTTACATTAACTAGGAAATCCGGTACTAGAATATTACACTCAAATTCAAGGTTCAAAATACAAGTTTCACCCATTTATTCCATGATCACAACTCACCTACAGCCCACACATCTGCAATCACTTCAACAATGACACCAACCATCGACCCCTCCCTCTTCATCGGATGAAATGTCAATTATCCTTCACCCCAGATACTCCACCTGCAAGCGGTCGTCATATATGAGAAGCTTTCCCCACGTTCCACGTTTCGTGCTTCAATCGTTTAAGTTTATCCCATGTACTTGCATGTTGTTACCGGATACCAACGTAGAGCAGGATGGAAATCTACTAAGCATAAGGTTATTGGTACTTTCAATATGCATTGTGACGTAGATGGTAATCCGTTTTATGTTGTGTTCGTGTACCGAGCCAGCGAACGATGGTATCGTGACTCTTACAATAACAGGAAGAAGTCGTCATATAATGTACTTACATATGATGCATTGCAAGAAAATGAAAGAGAGAGGGAGGTTCAAGGAAACTAGAGTGGGTACGAACAAGATTAACGAAGGATAACGGCTTGATGTGTTTGGATCTTAGTCCTATCTAAGCTGCTGAACCAGGGGTGGGAGACGTTAGCATTCAATTTGTTTAAACGCGATTGGATTCCTTATATTGGAACGCATTGTAAACCCCCGAACTTCACAGACTGGATCTATGCGAACACACTTCTTACATTGACCATATATGCTGTCAGGCACGCGAATGTGTACCTCCTACGAGTTTGCGTGTTTTCAAAGATGTCTTTACTCGGTTTCGTTTTAGTCTTATTCGAATTGCACTCTTTGACTACTATAAAGTAGATGTGAGTGGAAAGTGCTACGAGGGCACCCTGTAGTATGTGAGTAAATCTATACTCCCACCTAATTATTTTCTCTATCCCTTCTTTTTTACGTTTATCTATATGTTCTAATTAGTTAGGTTACCTTTTTTATCTTTAGTTTACTCGGCTAGAATATTAGAAGGACCCACTAAATAGACATAGATAGGGGAGTCTTGCTATAGGGCGAAATCTAGACTTTTTAGATAATGGGAAGCTACGAAATCTCTGGATTTAACAGATTAGGGTATAAATTCCACTACTACTACTAGCTCAAGGTCCGGTTACTCACATCTACACGCATCTACTTTGTGGCAGTCGAAGAGTGTAATTCGAATAAGACTAACACGAAACCGAGTGCTGTAAGACAGAGTGTCTGTCAAAGGTAACAGACTACAAGGAGTCTCATGTCTAGTACGACTTGAAAAATCTGTCCCAAGAAAAAGACGAAGCTCTCACAACCTACTACCAGCAGGCTTTGCATATCCTTCGTCGTGCTAGTAGCAAGGACTCCACCAATATCCTCCAACAAAGCGAGAATTCCATCAGCAGTCGAACTGACCACCCAGGATTTGTTATTGTCCTTACAAAGTAAAAGCGGAGGAGAGGTTAAAGAACGAATTATCCCTTGAAGTTCGTATGTACAAGTACATCTAATTTTCCAAGTTTGAGATTTCCCATTCAAGCAGTCGGACCGATCGGAATGATGCCTAGGCGCACTACGGGGCTCGGGCCGACTTCAAGTAGTACTATCATCAAGGACCAAGACTAGAAGTGGATACTTCAAACCTTAAAGACTAGATGCAGATGTACATATGACCTTCAGGGGATAGATCGTAATAAACAGTCGTGTAGTATCAGGGTATACTAAGCCATCTCATAGTTTTAGATAGGGGGAGGTGTGCGGTATAGATTTCTATCCAGTCCCGGATTACAGGGAGGATTGTTTTGGGGGGAGGCGGGCAAGAGGTTGTGGGAGGTCGCACTGTAGCATTTTCCTGTTACGAATTCTACTTTACTGTAAAGAGGAGGCTTGAGAGGTCTAGTTATATTTCTCTTTAGTACTTCGTACAAGTATTTGGACTTTACGATCTTGGGATTTTGAATACATGTGGACATGTATCAAATACGAAACGAAGCCGGAACTAACGATGGATTCCTAATATGAGACGGCTTAGCATACCCTGATACTGTATAACTTCCCCCATGGCCAAATATAGAACCTAACCAGATTTGCTTTATCACGATATATCATATATAATCCCTCTATACCCCCTCCTCTCCTCTCTTTTCACTTCCCAAGCAAAACCACAAACATCCCAACATCCAACAACCCCCCTTCAAATCCAAAAATGAAATACCTCACCCTCATCCTCACCCTCTTCCTCTTCACCTTAACTCTCGCCGCACCAGAAGGCAGCGATGACAGGACCGCAAAGCCAGTCGATGGCGGCTCGGGCACAAAGAAAGCGCCAGTATGCAACGAGTCGAATTGCGCGAAACAGTGTCCGAACGTTAGTATAACCCTCTCTCTTTCTGATTCTTGCTCGGGGACTGACGATCGGTATTACGATTACAGGGTCATACTGCCTTTGAATGTCTTCCAGGGGGTGTGGTGAAATGTACTTGTAAATGAGGTATTTGTAGGAGGAGGAAATAAGAGGAATAGAGGCGATGACTTATGTTTCTGTCAGAGGGAGTTTGGCGTATGGTTGGTTTTGATGATGATATTACCTAGGTACAATGAAGCGTGGGGTGGCTCTTGGTGGAGATTCCATAGATTTTAATTGAACAGGAGACCCTCTATCCTAGGTGGCTGTTTTGGTGGCTGCGGTGACATGGTATACCGAGCGTCTCTGTGAAGAATTCTTATTTTTATGGTAGTTACAGTTAGTAGCGACATGGAAGTTTTGTTTGTAGTTTATTCCCAAAGTACTGTGCCTAGGTAAAGAATTGGAGTATCCAAGGATACTACCACATCGGATAGCAAAGAAACCTCACTAACACCTTATAACCACATAATGGAACCCAGACGAGCGAAACGAGGAGGATTCACTTGTAATTGGCCAATTTTTGATTCATTTTTACTTCTGCTAACAAGTCTACACACTTTTAGAAAACAGAAAAAAAAAACTAAGATCATGGCATGTCGCAATATACGTGGACCTCCTTATCTCATTGGAACATCAGCTTCCTGGCCCTCAAATGCAGGTAACTCCTTTTCAATATCCGCCCAAGTTTTCTCGCCCTCAACCATCGATTTGATAGCCTTAAGAATCGTCTCTTCATCAGCGCGAACTTGCTTGGTAGAGTCGCGATCTCGGAGTGTATAGGTTTTGTCCTGGACACTCTGGAAATCAATGGTGATACCAAGTGGTGTTCCCAACTCGTCATTTCGACTGTATCGTTTGCCGATTGAGGCCGAGGAGTCGTCAATGCGACTAGAGACACCCAATTTGCGGAGTTTGAGGGACATGTGTTTGAGAAGAGGCTTGAAGCTTTCGTGGGCGGAAAGAGGGACGAGGAGAACCTTTGTTGGTGCAACCACAGGAGGGAAGGAGAGCACCTATATTTTGTCAGCTATTAGATGAATAAATAGAAAAAATAAACTTACACCGCGAGCCTCATCACCACCCTCGCTACCACGGGTCCAGTAGTTGTGTTCATACAAACAGTAGAGAATTCTTCCAATACCGAATGAAGGCTCGATGACGTTTGGAGTGTACTCTCTTGTGTTTTCAACTCGGGTTCTTTGCTCAATAACAATCAAGTCTTTGCTAATCTCGACCTTGCCATTGCCAACACCCTCAACGTCGATAGTGATCTTACCATCGGCCTTGAGAGCTTGGGAAAAAGCCTCACGCTTGTCTTGTGGGATAGCCTCGATAGCGGCTTCAACTATCTTACCATCCCTCTTAAAAAAAGGACCAAACTTCTTTTTGTCAAGATCAATTTGCCACTCCTCAATTTTGATGGGGGTGTCTAATCTCTCGCGAACCATCAATGGTGCACCGGTCTTCTTTGCGTGAACCGTCAAGTCATAAGCACTTCTGTCAGCGCAACCAACACACTCGATCCAACCATAACTGGTGAGCAACTCGGCATCCCAACAGTCAGCTGCATAATGTGCCATTTCGTTTGCCATGTGTTGTCTGAATCTGATCTTGGTCTGATCAACACCAATCTTCTCCAAGAAAAGATGAATACGAGCCAGGAAATAACCAAGGGTCTCGTTATCGACGGTACCATCAGCAACGGCCTTGCCAATTGCGACTCTCTCGACATTGGTCTTGCCAGACAGTTGGGTGTGACGGTTCAAAAGAACAAGTTCAACATCCGCGACTTCGTGGAATCGTGCGTGCTTCTTGCCACCTTGGGGATCAACATAATGCTCAATTTCGGCCATCAGGAATTCTCGAACACGGAGGAGACCAGAACGTGGGGAGATTTCATTTCGGAATGACTTGCCAATTGACGCGGAAGCGAATGGCATTTGCTGCTGGTTGAACTCGAGGAGCTTTGCAAAGTTAAGGAATTGACCTTGAGCAGTCTCCGGTCGTAGATAGCCAGGTGCATTACTGCTAGGGCCAATTGCTGTTTGGAACATAAGGTTGAAGGAAACTGGGGGCTCAGGTTGAACACCGGTAGCAGGATTCTTCATCTCATACTTCTTGATCAGCTCACCCAACTCTTCCCCGTTGTAGTTGTCGATCTACTGAAATCAGCCCTATGACTCCCCCACTTCATATGCACAACCTTACCTTTGCCAATATTTCCTCGTACTCGGTCACGACAGCATCGTCGAGCTTGACAGCTTCGATCGCACCCTTGTTCTTCTTCTTTTTCTTCTTGGGATCCTCTTCCTTCTCTACCACCTTCACACCTCTTGCCTCCTTATCCCCCTTCAGTCGCGACTCCAAGATTTCCTCGACAAAGTGATCAGCTCGAATGATATCCCCATTCTTTGGGTCCTTGCACATCCAGTCGGCGAACTTGTCAACATGGCCACTGGTTTTGAGAATCTCGGCCGGCGTCAACGCTGTGCAGTCGACCTCTAGCATATCCTCCTCGAGCACGAAGTGTTTGCGCCATGCGTCAATGACATTCGCATTCAGCGCGCAACCTGGAGGACCGTAATCATAGAGCCCAGCCGTGCCGCCGTAGATTTCGAAGGAGGGGGTATAGAACATGCGCCGACGCAGCATGGAATCGAGGACCTGACGGTCAAAGGGCTGGCCCTTGAGGGTGGTGGTAGCCATGGTGAGGTCGGTGACTGCGTAATTCTTGTCCTTGAATTTTGAGAGTTGATAGCGGTGCTTTTGTGCGGTTTCCGCGAAGCCTCTGCCTCTGCCTCTGGATCTAGATGCACATGGAGATGTAAAACGCGGAACAAACCTTCGGGCAGGATTGGGCGTCCGACAAAAAATGGAAAACGACCGCATTCAACGGTGGATCAAGCTATCGATGTCCAGATGACTCAATTGTAAAGCTTTCCCATGCATTTGCAGCTATTGCTGAGCACTATGACTCTGAACCCCCCCTGCTGCTGCCCCAGCTGCCCCTGTTGCCAATTGAAGCCGAGTCGGTCGGAGGTCATCGGAGTGCGGGGTTACTTTTCAAGCATCGTGCCGGATCTCGGGCGCCGGTGGGAAGGTCAAGGTCAAAATAATTTTTGTTCTAGAGGGAGCTACAGTACTTTCGCAGCTCAATCACCAAAACACCAACACCAGCCCAACCACATACCATGGGATCCAAACGAGTCAAGCCACCGTCGGCGAAGGTGGCATTACCTTTCAAAACCGGCAACAAATTTCGACGACAGGATTTGCACGTCAAGCAAAAGAAGGCGCGCGACAGTTTGCGACGAGACGAACGGTTCAAGCGCAAACGAGAAGAAGATAGAGATCCAACATTAAGAGCCGAGCGATTATCTAGAAATATTCCGCATACGATTGATAAGAAGCGAGTTTGGGACGACGTGGACGGGGATGGACTTAACGTCAGTGTGGATGTAGAACAATTGAAGAGGCGGCGCATAGAGGCGGCAGAAGCTGCCGAACAGGAAGCCTTGGAAGGCGCGGACGAAGAAGCAATAGAGGATGATGTGGACAGTATGTTGGATTCCGGCTCTGAAAATGAGGACGACGGGGATGCGCCGAAGCCCAAACCACGACCTCGAGCAGCTTCCACGGCCGCCTCGACGACTAGTACAAATCTCGATTTAACGCCCGATTCTCTTGCGCTCAAGTTCCCTACACTCTTCTCAGACGAACCTCCGCCAGTTCCTAAAGTTCTACTCACCACATCTATTAATTCTACCCTCCACCACGAAGCCGAACTTCTCTGCACCCTCTTCCCTCATAGCACCTACATTCGTCGTTCAGCACACCGTTTTGGTCACAAATTCTCGTTACGAGAGATCTCCAAATTTGCAGCAAATCGCAATTATACTTCTGTTATCCTTCTCAAAGAAGACTACAAGAAACCAACAGGACTTACGATCGTACACCTCCCATCCGGGCCTACTTGCCATTTCTCAATTGCTAATTGGGTCGAGGGCAAGAAACTGCCAGGACACGGAAATCCTACAAATCACTACCCAGAGTTAATATTGAACAACTTCCGCACGCCGTTGGGTTTATTGACTGCGCGGTTATTTCTGACTCTCTTTCCACCACAACCAGAATTACAAGGCAGACAGGTTGTCACATTACACAATCAACGTGATTACATCTTCCTACGAAGACATCGCTATGTATTCCGAGATAAACGAGAAACAGAGAAGAGTGTCGTAGGGGCGGATGGAGAGAAAGTCAAGGGGGTAGAAGATATTCGCGCAGGTTTACAAGAGCTTGGTCCAAGATGTACGCTGAAGTTACGGAGAGTAGATAAGGGGATTGGACGAGCTGGCAGCGAGGGTGATGATGCTGTGCAATGGCAGTGGAAAGCACATATGGAGAAACAACGAACAAGGTTCAATTTGTAGATCATTTTTTTGGTGGAGAATACCCGAATGTTACTCCTATCTCTGGAGAGCGGTTACACGACTTCAAAATGCTTGGAGTTACGAAATGCTTGAAGTTTTCCTTTTGGTGATCCTTGATTCTGTTTGTGTTACTTACTCTCGGACAGAGGTCTTTCCTGTTCCACTACACTTGTGTAGCTTCGGCTCGAGTTGTATAGTTCTATGGTTATATTGAATGCCTATATAATACGAAGGACCTCTAAACATACCGACTACTCTCTTCCTTGGTATGAATACACATCCCCTCCTCTTCCACTCCCCACTTCCACGTTCCACAACATCACCATCTCATCTATCTCATCTATCCCAGTCCATCTCTCCACCTCGCCTACTGATACCCTTCTGGTGGCTGAAGCGAGGGGAGGGGGAGAGGAAGAGGGAAGAGGGGTGATACGAAACCAGAAGATCATCTGATCGTCTTACTCTATTGATAGGTATGTGATGTGATTCCTCTTGCATTCTTGGGGGGATTTTGTTGCACGTCGGGTTCTCTGTCACCGGGTGGGTGCATGCATTTGGGGTCTTGTGATGGGGATGGGGATGGGAGGTTGTGAGGGGTGTGGGGGGCTTCTTGGGTGTGATATTTTGGGATGGGGAGTTTCTTGATTGTATTAGGATGTTTTATTGTTTTATTGTTTTGTTACTGACTGGTTGAGTAGGAGGGGAAGGGGGAAAAGGGGAGAGAAGAGATGTGTGATATGTAATCGAGCTACCTGCCTACCTATCTTAACATTGGAAGACCTGGTTCTGATAGGGAGAACGAGATGGCTGGATTTGTAAGTGAAGGTAGTTATACTTTTTTGTTGTTGTTGTTGTAGGATCCAGTGATTTACTTATGATTGTTGTTGTGGTATTTTCAGACTTGTTGACCTTTATTGAACTTTTTTTATGAAGTTGTTTAAGGTTGTGACGTATAAATTTTTGTATAGATTAACTCATTTATAAACCAAAGTAGTGATTATTACCTAATAACAGGTTGAATCAAGAAGAAGCTAAATCCAAACCCCCTTTCCCATCAGCTTCCTTCCTCACACCCTTACCCACCACCTACCCACCCATCCCGCCTAATATTCGGCCCTACTCCCTACCTCTCCACCACCCTCACCCAACCAATCCAACCCACCTTCAGCCCATAACCCTCAGCCCCAACCCACCCACCTCCACACCTCTTTTTTCAAGCAAACAGAACCACAAATAGCCCCCCAATCCTCAACAAACATTAAACCAAGCGGCTTTAGCTCACTTGGGAGAGCGCCAGACTGAAGTCCACTTCAGACATCTTGAAATCTGGAGGCACTGTGTTCGATCCACAGAAGCCGCAATTTCTGCGGGTGGTGGTTAACCATCATTCATACCTTCCAACTTGTTTTTTTCCTGGTTTTTGGTTTGGAGAAGGGGGAGAGAAAGGGGAGCGAGGGGGAAAGGTTTTTTTTATTTAGGTGGAATGAATGCATGGATGGGATGAGTGAGGGAGGGGTTGGTTGGTTAGGTGGGTTTTATCTTTTAATGACCCGATACGATACGAATGGTGCGTGCCATTTAGAATAACACGAGAGGGGTGGGTACTCCCTCGGGATTTTGAACATGCCCCTTTTATCACATTTGGCTCGTAAGTCAATCAGTATATCATAGAACTGATTGAGAACTTTCTTTTTTTTGTATCTACATAGAATCGTACTGCTATTAAAGTAAGCATACAGAGCAGACAGATGCCATATGTAACTTTTTGTTTGTTAGCTAAGCTCCTCGCTCGGTGATTTACATCAGACAAACTTTTTCTGCAACGGTAGCACGGTAGCGGGATGGCGTGTTTGAGGATTGCGTCATGGAAACTCCAGCTAATTTGGGAGGTTCCGTACTCAACAGAAAGTACGAATACATGATTATTTATATCATAGGATGTTCGGGGTTGGGAGAGGAGTAATGGGAAGCTGTCGCAGCTGGTGGCTGTTAGTCAACTAAAGATGCTAACGTGGAGGGCTACGAATATTATATAGATCGTGTATTTGTACTGCAGAAAATCGTAGTGAGATTTCCAATCGGAGGTTTTTGATTCTAGCTAGGTAGTAGGTTGTAGTTTAATCGCCGATGTTGGGTTTAGAATTCCGCTTGGGTCGGGTGGCTTGCCTCTACGAAGTACGGGACGAAAAGAACGGCGTAAAAACAATTTATAAATGCTACCTTAGTTATTGGAACTCGTAAAGATTAATAGATAGCTCTGAATTAAGTGAATTATTATTATAGTACTGTAGTTCACAAACATTTCTTTTAGGTTGTTATTCTTCTAAGTACGTAGGTACTAAAGGAAACCCCTGTTTTCCGAGAGGGAATCTTGCTATTTATGGATCGTTTCGTGGTCTCCTGATTAGGCTCTACCATGAACATGAATTTGTGTTCTTTTCTTGAAATTTGAAGAGCCCTTTTGAATTTAGGAAACTTCCTGTCCTCATGTCAATAGTAAATATTGCCTTCACGTGATTTCTGAACTCTTTTGGTGTCGAGCTGGTGGACTTGTTCCCTCCAATGGGCCTGCTGCAGATGGCTGACGATCATTTGCATAAGGGCAACGACATGCCCCTCCCCTAGAACTTCACAAACAAATCCCATGCCTTCGGGTCCCCGCCCCCCACTCGAAACATCTCGCTACTTCGTATAGTACAACTTCTACTTCGTATACGGAGCAAAACCAACGTATTCTACAAATTACAATTGTTTCTGGAAAAGTACACAGAAGAAATGTGCTGATTGGTTGATCATTACGCTGCTTGCAATTTCAGAATACTTTTCCTCAGGAAAGGGATAGGACACCCGGGATTTCTCCGCCTTCCGACTTGAACCTTAGCGAAGAATATTGCGGAGAGTTTTCGCTAGAGGTCTTGTAAGATTACAGTCCTGGGCGCTTGTTTCCGAAAAAGGTGTATTTTCGAATGGAGAGCGGGACTATGTTACTAATACCCTTGCCCTCTAAGTCCCGCTTATTAGCAGAACTTCCAATCAAAAGACTATATTATCCTGTAAGTGAAGTAACCTTTTATATATCCGAGCTAGGTTTCTGAAGATGACCTCGTCCCAGGCGTAACAAAAGTTGAGTTTACGGGGGTTTTTACACTGTACTCCACTGAGCGTGCCCTGTAAACTCAACTTTTGTTACGCCTGGGACGAAGTAGTCTAACTTGCCGTTTTCGGGAACAAGGCGTACGGGACTGTGCGTGTACCAAGTACCGATACTGTTATTTCCCGACACAGACAATCCGTGTGACCCATTATTGTTTCATTCGCTTGCTTATTGGTCTATCCTCCATATGGCCGATCCACGGCATACCTTCTCTTGCGGTATGGATGATGGGTGCAAAGGCTGACGTAGCTTCTTCGTAAACTCTCTTTGTACGAAACGCGGAAATCCTAATTTCGAAAAGGTCAAAGTTGCACGCGCAACCCCTTAAGTCCGCTCTGTCACACAAAGAATACCTTCATCGAGTTCCCATCATACTGTATGGCTGAATCTATCCTCAATCCCATTTGATACTAGCTTTACTGGAAGCGCAGCACTTAGTAGGTTGTTTTTCAACGATGTGGTGCCATCTGAACTTTTGTGAGGTGTATTTACGGTGCTACTACCCGTGGGCAAACGGGCTCCTCGTCTTGTTTGTCTCAAGCTGATTTCTATTTGCTTATCTCACACCCTTCCCCCGAAAAGCCTAGTCCCTCTCAAGCTCAGAACGCGCCACATTACACTTTCTCTCTCTGAGCTTTCCTTTTTGTTCCTCTCGTGTATTTTCATGATCCGTACCTTTGCAAAGTCTTTTGAGGATGTCTGTCGTTTTCCCATCTGTGATGAAGACCCCTTTATGGGGAGTCTTGATGGTTGTCTTCTTGGTATGGTCGTTACATACGTTGGATGCTGGGTCTATGAGGGAGACCATTATTGTAAGCGGAACTCATCTTACAAGTCCTAATCAGTTACTTACTTCTTTAAGCGATCCGAGACATTTTCATTGAAAAGCGGTGCAGGAAAATCGAAAAACATTTCTTTGGAAACAGTCGAGATGAACCCCAATAGGCCGCTGATTCTCTACGCCTATTCCGAAGAGGAAACCGCCCGCGAAAACTTCAAATTCTTCCTTCGACATGGTCTTCACGGTGCCGCAGATTTCGTCTTTATCATCAATGGAGAAAGTGACATTGTAGAATCTATCCCTAAAGAGCCCAACTTCCGCGTCGTCCAAAGACCAAACGAATGCTACGATATCGGCGCCCACTCAGAGGTCCTCCAAAAGGACAATTTGTATAAGAAATACAAAAGATTCATCTTACTGAACGCCAGTATCCGCGGCCCTTTCTCTCCACAATGGGCAAATGGTTGTTGGTCAGATATGTACCTAGAACGGCTCTCGAATGAAGTCAAGGTACGAATATCCATTTGCTGCATCACCTGAAAGGCCATACTAACCGCATCACAGCTCGTAGGTATGACTGCCAACTGCGGGCCATCATTCCACGTCCAATCCATGATCCTCGCCACCGACAAAGAGGGCATGGAAACGCTGCTCCACCCCACCGAAGAAGCCCTCACGATTTATAAAGCAAACCCGCCCAATGAGGCCTTCCCAGTCGAATTCGAAAAGGACCAAACACCCGGAATAAACGGCTGCTTCAAGACCTACGCCCACGCCGTGAAAGCAGAGATCTCCATCACCTCCCTCATTAGAGCGGCGGGGTATAAATACGACGTCATGATGAGTGCGTTCAAGGGGATGGCAGATTACGAACATACTTGTGATCCCAATGTGGGCGATTTGCTGTGGGATAGGAGGTATTATGGGATCAATGTTCATCCGTTCGAGACGGTTTTCATCAAGAGTAATCGGGATATTGATCCGCTTGTTGTGCAGCGGCATACTGAGTGGGCGGCTGGAAGAGGGTATACGAGTTATGATCACTGTAAGGGTGATTGAATGTCGACTTGGCAAGTAAGAAGGTATACCATGGAAGGGCTACTGGTTATAGGAACTGGATGTGTGGACTACCTGGGTTTGGGGGTTTTTGATTGGCATTTTCGAGGAGCGTTGGCATTTCGTTTTTGGTTATTTTACTCCCTGGTCAGATGGTGGGAGTTTGCGACGATGGCCAGCTGTCTTTGAGCGACATTTATATGGCCTTGTTTGGGTTCTTGGAGCGGTAGATTACAAAGGGATTGTGGGTTTTTATGGGAACCTTTAGGAGGGGATGCGGATGATACTGATTGTTTTGATAGGCTGGTGTATACATGTACTTTAGATTAGATCGGATGGGTTTGATACCTCTTTTAGAAGGAAAGGGAAAGGGCCGGGGAGAGGGTCATTTACTAGGTACCTATCAAGTGAAAATAATAAAGACAGCCATAAAGTCCTTCCAGAGTCTTGCCATATTAGTGTCATTAGTACTAGCCCACTTCACTCCCCTCCTTTTCTTCTTCGCTTACCGCAGCAAACAAGGTCACCAGAACTTGCGATGATTGAATATGTAATAGGACAATCATGTGTTTCCTGCTTCTTCAAGAAAAGTGCCGGTATGAGAGACTATATGCCTACCTTCACGGCCTTCTTTATCCTATCTCAACTCATTCGCATATCTTCTGGGAGCCCACATTATTTCACGGGTTCAGAGCTGGTTGGTTCAGTGTAGTTAAAGGGGTTGAGGGAGTTGGGTGTGTTAGGGGCTTCATCTTTGATTGTTTTAGACTTTCTATGGTGATTCGTAATGCAGAGGTGATGATGCTTTCTTGGGGCTGGGGTGCGTTTTGAGATTTTCCGTAGTTGGGCTGTGTGGAAGTTGGGGCTAGACAGATAACGTGTTAATTACTGATTACTACTGTGTTCGTCAACCGTTTCCTGGGTTTTCTTTTCTGGTTTTGTTAGGGGGACAACAGGGGGGGAAGTCACTTGCGAGTTATTCGTCACTGATCAAAATATACTCTATATCTGGACTGAGTAGAGTGTTGCATCTTTGGAGTAGTATTATAGTTTGCCTATTTGATATCAGTAGGATTCTTCGTGATGGATAAGTAGAGATAACGCATGTGTTGTATGTTTTGTAAATGTGTTAAACTTGCTAACCATTCCTTTTTTTTTTAAGGTCTTTTTACGGTTTTCGACAAGTCGACATCATTTGGATGATCAGCAATTGAGCTGTAATGTCTGTGTGTTTTGAATTGGTCAGGACTCTTCATCTCTGGTTTAGATAGCGTTGGAGGCATTACTACCTACCATCTTATCAGCTGTGGTTAGGCGTAGAAGACTTAGATTCACTAAGATACATACAAAGCTAGCGAATACAAATACTTTTATGCCTCGCATGAACATACATGAATTCACTAACGGGGTTACGTCATTATCCTATCACCTGAGGTTCTTGTTGAACTTCGCGTGAATACTGGTGAGGGGGCAATACCTAGAGGGAAGTTAGTACCGTACTTGAATTGAATTTATTTGAGGCCAACTTCCAACTCTTCCCCACAAACCTTCAACGGCTGAACACTGCCATCCATCTGAATACAAGACCACAGAGAAGACGCCCAACAAACTGTCACTTTGTCAACACACACCAGTCCAACCTAGGTCTGCTACCTCAGGTTTCGCATCCCAAACTCTTGCATTTCCGCGTGCTCTTCTGGTTCTCGTCGCTACAATGACCTCCAACGTGGAATTTGTACCAAGAGTACGCCGTTTGTCGCTAGATGGTATCAGGAAATTGGTCGAACGTTACCAGAAACCCAGGAATGTATTTCATGGTTATCACCCATCATATGAACAATTACCAAAACTCCGTCACAGTTTGCTAATTTGAACCTCACAGTCTCCCGCCCACAAATTCCAGACTACTTCGATTGCCCATTGAACTCCGAATTCACATATACGAGCTTGTACTAGATATCAGAGCAAATGTTACGATCTTAGAGCCCCACCATGTTCTCTGTGACTGCTTTCCTGGATCTGATCACCTTTTTGTCCATGAAAACCCTTGTTCTTGTTATAGCGTATTCTTCCAACATGAATTTTTCTTCTACCCTTGGCCTGTGATGTTGGCCAACAAGCAAGTCTTCATGGAAACAAGCTCGTTGTTGTTATGCTTTGAAGAACGTTTACGTGGATCACTTCCTGAGAAAACACTTCCCAAGGATCCGCCCGAGGATAAGGCACACACATCACTCCACCAGTCGGATTCTCCTCGCTTTGTCGATCAAGTGGGTGCTCCTATTCCGTCAACAATTTTAGTGCGGCGCTAGCAGGGGACCCCTGCAGGGCCCCTGCCCTAATATAAGTGAATTATAAATCGATTCACTTAATATAGTATCTATAGCAACCGTTGACTAATTATATAATATATACACTTTTAAAGCTAGTAATAGTTACAAAGTTAGTAGTTTACTATATATTTATAAAACTTAGGGGAAACTACTATAAACTCTATTAAAGAGGGGTTATTTCCTAAGTTGTCTATAGTAATCACTTGCCTTCCCGCTATTTTACTAGTAAAAGTTAAACTTATTTTAGTTATAAATAGGACAAACCCGTTTCGATCTAACTAAGTGTGACGAAACTCAAACTATCTAACAAAAGTAATCGTTCCGAAGGTTGGTATGCAGATAAGAAGATCAGATGCGCCGGGTTGTTTACTCAGAGGTAAACTCGTCACTTGTACAAAGTCGTCAAAGTCAAAAGGTATTGGTAACTAAGTAAACTAAGTTGAGCACGAAGCTCCTATCTAATGGCAGACGTGCCAGTCTTATATAGAACCTTCGTTCTCCTAAATCAGTGCCCGTCGCTCTGATCCTTTCTGATTCCTCAGAGGTCGTCAGGCCGACCACCTCTGATGCCAGTCGATCACGTGACAATAACCAAAGGAAATCCTTGGATCGCTTATCTAGCCTAAGCATCCCTATTCGCTATAAGAGTTCGTGATAATGCTTAACCTGTCAGGACGCCACCTGGTCTTCACTCGTCACCTGCTAACACGTGATTCGTGACACTAAGTAGGTTATTTGCCTTAATTATACCCCGCTAACCTTAATATCTAACCCTAACCTAAACCTCTAATCTAAACCCTAACTACTAACTTATGTATTTCATATACTAAACTATATACCTTGTAATTATATACTAAATAATATCTTATATAAGAATAATTATCGATTTATATATTTAAAGTCGTTTAAAACCTACTAAGTTCCTACTCTTATTCTACTAGCGATATTCTACTTAATATAGCTTTAATATTAGCTATATAAGGACTTACTAATCTACCTAAAGTTACTTAGTACTAAGTACTCCTCTTTTGTATTAAGTATAATAATAACGATAGAATTATACTTTCGAGAGCTCTTTTTAATTAATACTAGCTATTTATTTTAAACGTTTAGTCTTATACTAATAATTATCTACTTCGTAATTTATATAGGAGTAAGATATATTACTATTATCCAGGTAGAAAGTCTAACGCTTTAAAAGCTAGTAATATTAGTACGAATACTACTTATTATAAAAGGTCTTAATTATATAGGTTTATAATTCGAATTATTATTAAAGAGAACCCTATAGAAAACTTTATTATTAAGCGGAGTAGAGGTTTATACTAGGAGTATAATTATACCTTAGAGTAAGTAGATATTATTAAGGTTAATAACGCTATTTATAAGGTAGCTATTTAACTCCTAGATTCTTAGCCCCCGTCTAGTATTCTCTTACTTCTCTATTAAAATCGTACTATATTAGATAAGGCTAGTAGATAGCACTTAATCCTAAATAATATCTATAACTAGAAGCGTCTAGTAAGTTAATAGTCGGAAGATAATAATCCTACCGCCTTTTCTTAAAAAGCTCTATAAAGTTAGTATATAGTAGTAAAGGAATTAGGAAAGTATATTAAATTCTATAATTACTAATAATTACTTAATAGTCTTATAGTTAAGAAAAGATAAAAGGTAGTATTTCAATAAATATTTATAGTATTATATAGGTAAAAGAGAACTAGTTACTCGAGTTAGTAGAAGGTAAATATATAACGTTATTCGATTTAACCTATAAAACTAATAAGCTAAAGTAGAAGCTCTTTAGCCTTTAATTCGTTCGAAATATAGGGTCTTTTATCCTTATACCTTCGTTTTAGTTAAAACTAAAGATACTAAAATTATTAGCGAGTACTTTAGTATTCTAGTTGTGACGGTTCTAACGGCCACTACACCTCAGACCAGTGTCACGAATCACGTGTTCACGTGATACTTGTCATAATAAGAGGCGCAACCCTGGACAGGCACATTCAGATTTCTTATAGCAAATGGGGATCGCTTAGGGTAGCTAGGCGATCCAAGGATTTCTTCCTTACAGAAGATCATGTGACTAGGGAGTATGAGGAAGTATAGACTGGCACGTCTGCCATTAGATAGGAGCTTCGTGCTCAACTTAGTTATCAATCTTATCATATTTGTTTGACATCTTTGATACAAGTAACGAGTTCACTTCCAAGTGAACAACCCGATAGTCTTCTTCTTATCATAGCATACCAACCAGCGAACACCCAGCCAAGTTTAGTTAGCCAGTTTGAGTATTCGTTACACTAGGATCCTTAAGAGTATATTAAAAAGGAGTAGATAGATATAAGAGCTAAATAAGCGAATTACGTACGCTAATCCGAGTATATTCTACGCTAAGTTAGTATAACGAGTTCGAACAAGAGTTAGTACTATAAGCTTAAGAGTAGACGGCTATAATTATGTAAGAATTAAAACTCGCCCTATGTAACGAATACTCAAACTGGCTAACTAAACTTGGCTGGGTGTTCGCTGGTTGGTATGCTATGATAAGAAGAAGACTATCGGGTTGTTCACTTGGAAGTGAACTCGTTACTTGTATCAAAGATGTCAAACTAATATGATAAGATTGATAACTAAGTTGAGCACGAAGCTCCTATCTAAAGGCAGAAGTGCCAGTCTT